GATAAACCTATTAATCAATTATACACATACTTACATCCTCAAAATGAGATCCAAGATGGATGCTAGTTCACATTCAAAAAACGATTTTCTTTTCTACGGATGTCATTAGAATAAATGATTAATTAAAAATGATGTGAAGTATAGAAAAATATTCATAACCGTATTTGTTGATTAAAATAAAACAAAAACTAATAGATAAAAAAATTTGATGTAATATGCTAGTGAAATCTTTGATTTGTAACTTTTGAAAATGTCATTAATCAATGTGTTTAGTTTCTTGTTGAGAATTAAAATCTTTTTTATAGTAAACATCCCAAACCGATTGAATAGAAGCATATGATGGTATATACTTATAATCAGGAAAGTCATATCCGAATGCTTTTAGACCAACATATTGAAGAGCATGTGGTGTTGTTAATGCCTCAGGTGCTGGAAGAACGAGTACAGAAACACGATAACCATATTTGACGACTTCAGTTGCAAGTGGTTCAGCAGTATCTTGTTCAACAAGTACAATCAAATCTGGTACACTAGCCACAATTTCTCCATTATCAAAACGAGCTATTAAATTTTCATTTTGGAAATCAATAATAAGAATTCTTTCAGCTGTTTTAATTGACACATGACCACGAGCAAATCCATCAGTAGTATGTCGTTCGACATTGATTACTGTACCATCAGAAATGAGTATTCGACCATGACCAGCACTAGCTACAGCTTGAATAGCATCAATTTGATGATTGAATTTGGCTTCACCTTTGTCAAAAACTTATATATTAGTAAACAAAATAAATAAATAAATGTAACTCTCACCGAGAAACCATGCACGAGAAAGACTATGATGCACCGTATGTTTTTGTAATTGTTCGCCACTAATTGGAGGTAAACAAACACCAACATAAAGACCACGTTTAATGCATTCTTCTCGAAATGTATCTTCTAATTCTTGCGGAGTAGAAACCATATCATCTGTGCACATAAATGTTTGATCTCTTACATCACATAGACAAGCAGGTGTTGCAGGTAAATTATGAATAAACGGTAAAATGTGAGTGAGACAAGGAAATGCTCGTCCCATACTGTCACAATCAATACATGGTACTTTTTTCTTTGCTGACACAAGTAGTCCCATTAGACCATTAGATCCACCGATTTCTCCACTGTAAACAGCATTAACCTTTTTTCCTAAATACTTTTCTATATTATTAACAGCATCTAAACATTCATGGCCATTTGATAATAATTCATGAGTAACGGTTGGTGCGCCCATATAACCAACATCAACTACTAGATCTGAAGAAGAAGAAAAGAATGAAGGAGGTGCTACACGCATTTTATATTTTCCTTCTCGAAGAAGTTCAAGACACCATAATTTAAAATGATACGATTCACCACCACCACCACAACCTAAAAATATAATTTTTATTAGTTGTATAAAACAAGAAATTAAAGAATAGATATACCAAGAATTCCAGCTCCATAAGCAATATATTCAATATCAATTGCATCAATACACCAAAATCCATCGTTATCAAATACAGGTTGTTTTTCTTTCAAGTTAATAGAAATGAGCGGTTTGACATTTGGTGATACTTCGTGTTTTATGTCCACGAAACACTTTTGAATTTGCGTCTCTTGTTTATTTTGCTTCAATTTATTTAGATCAAGTTGACCGATAGCTGTTAATTGAACTCGATGTCTATGACCACCAGGAATATAAGCTAATGGTGTTTCTTCTAATTCTGCTAAGTAAATCGTATTTGGTCGAGCTCCATGTTGTTCGCATTGTTCATATGCTTCACGAGTTAATTGATCAAGCATATTTTTACGTTGTTCACCACCATCGACAGATGAAGGAAATAGATCAACGATTGAATCAATAGTAGTACTTAATGAACAGAGAGCAGCACCTATTGCATTACAAACAGCAAAATGATCTGGTCGTACTATCTAAAAACAAAAACGATACCATCGATTTTGTAAAATATCAATAATAAATTACCTGTATGACATCTGGAATTGATTGATTAGTATCAATAAGAATTGAACCACCACCACATAAAATGATAGGAACTGGTTCTGAATTTGTTTTTATACGATCAACATTTTTTATAACTAATTGTTTAATATAATCAAGTACCTGTTGAACAATTGATGTAGAGATTTTAACACTAGTATGACCAATCTAAAGATGGAAATGTTTTAAAAATAGTTTGAAATTATAAACTAACTCCTGTCGTTAATCCTGCAGCTAGAGCAATATCAGTACAAGTAATTGTTTGGCCACCAAAAGCCAATGCTTCTTGTTCGAGTCGATAACCAACACTATCTGGTCCGATTTGTACAGATTCATCTTTTTCGTTCACATGAATTATTGTACCACCGCCCAATGTTACAGAAATCGTATCAGCAAGAGCAACATTGACTCTTATATTGTCGGTCAGTTTTACATTCTGCATCAAAATGAATAAATAAATGAATGAAAATAATGATAAATAACTTACTGCATGTGTCTGCCTTGGTCGTCCATCAACAAGGACACCGATATCAAGTGATGTTCCTCCAACATCAATAACAATACCATTCTTAATACCACTAAGATATGCAGCACCAATCATAGAATTAGTTGGACCACTAACAAAAGTAAACACAGGCCAACGAATAGCATCCTCAGCTGATAATAGAGTACCTGAATTTTTCGTAAGAAAGAAAGGAATATTTGGAGGAAGTGCTTTCTGTAATGCTACAATTGTTTGTGTAGCTAATGGACGAAGACAAGCATTGAGAATCGAAGCATTTTCACGTTCCGATAAACTAAGACCAGCTATTTCATGAGAAAGAGTGATATATGCAGTATTTGATTCTTCACGAATGATTTCACCCACACGTTTTTCCTGATCCGATCGACAAGGTGAGAAGACACCACAAACACAAAACGTACAAATATTAAGAGCAAGAGCACGACGAACTACTGTTCGAATTTCTTCTTCATCTAATGAACTAATTTCTGATCCATCAAATAAATAACCTCCAGCAACAAACACTGTCAAACCATCAATCTAAATTATTGATATAAAACTATCATAAAGAAAATAAGATCTTAAATATTGTCTCATATACTATTTCTTTCAAATCTTGTGGCCAATTAGCCATCGGAGGAACGGCTTGTGTTGCTGTTCCACAAAGGCGTATTGTGCATACTTTCATTAAACCTCGTCGTTGAATCAATGCATTAATAAAATGTGTTGTGCCCACCATAATTGCAGTAACATCAACACCTTTAATAACTTGTTGCACTGCATTAAGCATACCAGAAAATACATCTGAACTTGTGACCATCTTCGTGCTAGTTATCACCTTCGGTGCTATTTTCAAAAAATAAATGATCAATGATTGCAAAAATAAAAGACTTACCATGATGAGAATCGATTCGTAGTAAAACCGCATCTATATAAATTTTATAATAAACTCATACCAATAGTAAAACCTACTTACCTGTGTTTGTTCCACCAACATCAACACCAACAACATGAATTGTCATATTTGTCAAGTTATTTTTATCTAAATAGAATTACTTATCCTCTGTTTCATAAGTTACTTGAAGTTAGAAGAAAGCAAGTTTTTCCTCCTATTGTACATCTCAATATATAAAGTACACAACTCGTTTTAAACGATTAGAGAAATTTTACTCAATGAAGAATGAAGAAAAATATAAATAACAAGATCAGTATGTATGATAGGTGTCAGCGGCGATGAATTGAATTTTGATAATCCTGCTACTCATACAATTTTTTTCTCAATTCGACGATCCTTTGCTAACATATATAATCGGTTTCTTTCGGATTCTACGTTAAGTTTAAAACCAAATTAACACATAGATTTATTTACTTCTCTTATATGTCTTGAATTATACACTCAACTTCGTTCTTCAACTCTTCTTATTATCAATAAAATTCAATTAATTATTGCTCCATTTCAGATTGATCACAAAAAAGTAGTTTGTCAATTCTGTACATATAGTTAATGGTAGTCTCGATATTATTTTGTATATTCAATACAAATATGTAAACATGAGATGTATTATATATCGAAATTCGAAAAAAAACAAGTTGCTATTACTACTTATAATGAGACCATAGGAGTTAGAAGTTTTATTCAGTATCATGCTAGTAATCATTTCAGTGTCAATATAATAACTAAATACTCAACTGAAAACTTGTTTCAGTTTTCATGAAATCTTACGAAAAGTATGAAAAGTTCAGAAACGTCTTTTACAAAACTCTACTAACATAAACACTAATATGGGTCATAATAATATCACTTACAATGTATTATAATACTACTATTGGTCTTTATATCAATTTTTCGAAGTTTCTCATATGCTCTATCTTCTATATTTATGTCATACTTACTTTATTTATAATGTCGAAATAATAATCAAAATAATATAATAAATGATAATATTTTATTTTGGAAAAAAAATAGGTCACATAAATGTCACAGTAATAATAATAAAAATAATAGAACATGTGATAATGTTGATATCAAAAGAAAAGGAAAAAAAAACAAGAACAACAAGAAAAACGTTATCAACACTCCAATATAAAGCGGTTAATTATGACTGTGACAAAGGTAAAACGTAAAAAGAGGATTCAGAAAAATGATCGATACTGTGCACATAAGTCCAGCGTCATCGACCGACATCTAGGGGTTCTAACAGTTATACTATATTTTCATAATATCCATCTTTCTATACATTAAAATCTTCAACCTTATCTTGATGAATATTTTATAAATATGAGACAATCACATAGGATAACTGAATGTTAAATATTACATGTGTCATCGAGTTTGATTCATTTTATTGCTCAAATTAGTGATGCTAAGATAATATACAAGTGACTGAACAAGAATTTACAAGACTTGATAATCAAGAAAAAAAAACAAAATACTAATTATATACAAAATTATAGACAATATATACAAATTGTTTTAGTTAGACTATAGGCATTTTGATTACATTGATATCTTGCACTCGTTTTTTTGGAACAATATATTTCATAATTGTACTTGTTAAAACTTTTCTAACATCATCAGTTATTATTATATTGACAAGCATAGTTGTACTTATACCAAAAGTAATGAACATACGATCAACTCGTATCATATATGGCCATGATGGTAACAGAAGAATTTCAGTTGCAATAAAACTAACTAGTTTAGGAAAATCAAGAATAAATAAAGTCGTAATGATCATGCAAATACGACGAATAAGACGAAGTTCAGATTGTCTTCGATGTTGTGACGGTATATTCGTGCTATTTTTTATTGAAAATGGATTTTGTTTCATATATTTAACAATCTTTGTATAAAGAATAACTATAATTATAAGTGGAAACACAAAAGCAATTGATATGAGATAAATAAAACTCCATTCTTCTTCCATTAGTACCTAAGAAAGAATATTAGATGAAAAAAAAAACATAATATTAAAATATTTTATTTTTACCCCACATATACGACCATTAACTTGATATTGTATTTTGCCAGTGATAAAGAGAGGAACGACAAAAGTACAAGATATAAACCATTGTATAGCTACCATGGAAATGGCACAATTGTTTGTTTGAAGAAATCGTCGAGTTGAGTATACTGTCACAAAGAGACGATAACATCCTATGACACATAAACTATGATATAAAAGACCAGTTCCAGTATGTAAAATAAAACCACGTAAAGGACAGAGTATATCATTACCAATATCTATCAATTGATAGATAGATTGGCATATATATGTTATACTGGTAATACAACCAGCTACAGCACAATTAAATGCAAGGAGATTATTTATTGTATGACATTGATGATGGATAATTATTATTATAATAAATACAAGTGCACAGATAGTACCGAATATGCTACATATGAGCATTAAAAGAGATGATAATATTTCAAACACGTCCATTGAAATGATGACAGTTCGGTAATATGAATTTTATTTATTTTTATATCTTTTATAAGAGATAAAAAAGGAAGAGAAGAGAAGAGAAAGGGGAATAATTTAAACAGCTGACACAAAAAGATCTATCCGACAAAGGAAACTCTAAGTAATGACATCTAAAATTATGTACTCACGTGATAAAAGTCCAAGGGATAAATTCTTATTTTCTTATACTTGAACTGACATATAGGAAGTAACTGAACTTTAGTCTATTACAAAAGAAGCGCACATATGTGCACATCCTATATCATAATTATCTATTTGGTTGAATAGAATAATTTTCTATTATTTTTATTTTACCTTTGGAGGATGCTAAATAAAACAAAAGTCATATGATATTGATGAATATACATGAATGAGTTTAATTAATGCACACATTATAATTATTCTACTTTCATTTTTATTTTAGTCATATGATTATAATGAGCAGATATAAATAACTAAAAAGAATAGAGAAAAAAGTGTTTGTAATATTTTTTTTCATATATGCATCTATAATTCACTTTTTCTTGAATTTCAACTTCTTGTTCGAAATTTGTATAAGAAAAAAGCACCAAATTATTAAAACGTAGATCTTTTACGAATCAAATACGATCAAATTTGGGAAAAAAATCTTTGATATCAAGTATTGAATAATTATTAAAAACAGAACATAAAACTGAAAGAAGTATAAAAAATAATTGTCTGTATTAGTGAATCGTTAGTCTTGGTCTTGTTGCTGTTATTGTTGTCCATTGAATCGTCTGACTTGACAGTGCCAACATATCCAGATCAAGAGAGTGTACGACTAAGATCTAGAAATGATATTTAATAAAAAACCTTATTCTCATATAACAGGCGTCCTACGAATAATGGAGCTCTCTGAATTTTGATAATATACTATGAAATAGAAACTATTGACTTCTTCAATCTATTATATTATTTTCAAAGTTTCTGCTTATGTGATTTTAAATCATAGGTATTGAATGTACTACTCTTTATGAAAAAAATTACTTGATCGAAAATATTGTAGGAAAAGTTTTCGTGATTCTTTCCATTTACAGTCACCCTTGTCACTGTTTTCGCAACACCAAGTACTCGAATAAGTTCCAGATTCATTGGTGAATCTTTATAATTTGCAACAGTTGCATTGATGGTCAATATGTTCTATCGAATAGTAAATGAAAACTATATAAATTTCTTTTTCAATAGTTTTGCTTACTGAAGAACACGAAAATTCAAAGTAATTGTAATTTCTTGTTTCAATAGAGTCTAGAGAAACATAAAAATAAGTTGGATCGATGGTATAAGTGGCAATATGCTCACCAAGGGAATCACCATCATCCCAAAATAGATTTCCAGTAGCATTTTCTGACATTGATTGAGCAACAAGTAATGTAAATGGATTACCACGACCCATCATCAAATTATCTCCAGGTATTTGCATTGGAATGATAAAACCACCTCGAACATGTACATTTATCTTATCTAAAGGAGCATCAAGCTCAGTAAATATACCAACAGTTGTTATTTTGATGCCCGATGGAAATTCGTACCAAACATCTTGAGGAATATAAGCACGTACTTTAGTTGCTAACTAGAAAAATGTGTAGAATAGAGAAAGAAAGAGATAGACAATAGAATGTTCAGTGATATTTACTGGGAAAAGAACTGGCGAGACAAGAATAGCGCGACCAATCAAAAATTGTTTATCGATACCAACTGTGTTATCGTCATTCGGAAATCTGTAAGATCGTACAATTAATTAGAAAAATCAACGAAATATAGAATAAGTAGTATACTCGAAATGAAGTGGTTGCACTAGAGTTCTTGATATCATTGTTGCTTGATGATGAAGAGTATACCAAAATGGTGCCAAAGAATATCGCATGATCAACGCTTGTTTCATAATTTGCTGAGCTTTCCATGAGAATACAGCAGGATCTTGATCCTAGTTTTTTCCTATAGAGAATAATAAATAGTATTATCATAGTAGATAATCTACTTTCATATTAAGATCATTATGATTTCTCATAAACGGATAGAATGCACCCAATTGCATCCATCGTGTACATAATTCTTCAGTGGTCTCAAGTTCAAAACCACAAACATCGGCGCCTACATTCGGTATACCGAACATATTGAAGCTGAGAATAGCTACAATATAAAAAAATGATAGACATAATTGTTATGCTTCTGAGAGCATAGAAAGATTTTTCAGATTTCCAAGTTTTTAGTTCAAATAATATCTGTATGCCGAATATCTTACAGTTTAGTTTTAATACGTACCCGAAATTGAAAAATACATATCGGTATGTGTTGCTCGATTGTCTCCTGTCCAATGAGCAGTATATTGACCTGATCCAGCAAATGATGAACGAGATAAAACAAATGGTCGTTTACGACGAATTGTTTTCAATGCACTACAATATATTTATATAATAAGTCAATATTTCTTCGAGTGTTATTTAAATACATACAGATTTGTTGCTCTTGCTTCAAAATAACCATACATATTATGTAAATTATAATGAGAAGAAAGTGCATGTTGAGCAGATGGACATAGTGTTTTAGCACTGAGTGAGCCACCGAGTACATCTTGAAAAATATTTTATAGTTTTTAGTTTTATTTATATAGAAAACGGACTTACGTGGTACAAATGGAGGATTATCCAATGAATTATTTGTACAACCATCTTGAGAACCGTCGACAAAATTCGATGGTTCATTCATATCCTAGCAAGAAAACAAGTTATATGACTCGTTTTCATAATCTGAACGTATATACATACAATCCATATGCCATCGAATGGAACTGTATCATGAAATGTAGCAGCAATGTTTGTCCACCATTCAATAGAGTTTTCATTAGTAAAATCTGGAAATGCTGTTAAGCCTAAATATAAAAATGATTTTAAAGATCAATCGATTGAACTCGGTCTCGATTCTTACCTGGCCATACCTAAAAATACATTTACATATATTAAGATTGACATGTAGAATTCGAATTTACCTTTCCAATAATTGGTTCAGTTGAATTAAATTTAGTCATGAAAATTGCTCTTTTCAAACCATCATCATATGGTGCATAAGAACCAGATGGTTGAGTTGAACTAATACCTGGATCAATGATATTAACATAGTGTTTACCTTCAGCTTGTAATGCACGAACAAGATCTGGTAGACCATTAAAGTTGATTTTATCATAAGTATAATCAAGATGTGATGACATGGCATCAATATCTGTCCATTGAACATCATATGGAAATTCAGCATCATGCATTCGCTAATAAGATAAATACGCAACTTTATATTTTAATTTTAAAGAATAATACTTGAATAACAGTTCGTAATTTTTCGATACTATTATATCCATAACGACATAGATGAAAACCAAGAGACCAATATGGTGGCATTAGGGGTTTCTAGAATTTAAAAGAAAAAAACAAAATCAAAAAAAATGTTCAACACCGTTTTACCCCGATAACCTCCCAATATTGTTGAATGACATCTTGTGCAGTCGGTCCCGTAAATAAATACAAATCAATAATACCTCCTATGGTTGTATAAGTAATAGCAGGTAATGGTTGAAGATCAATATCCATTGCATTTGAATTGAGGAAAAAATGGCCATGAAAATTTGCTGTTGGTTCTATATTGATGTGAAATGGATGAACACCTTTGTAATAAATATTCATAGATAATATATTGCAAAATACTTATCAACTGTGAAATATCTTGTTTAAATACTTACCATACAGATTAATGTGTTCCAAAGGAGGAAAATCGCGAGTCCAAAATGTTAGTTTTCTCCATTCATTTGTAACGTTAATTAAAAATGGTTGTCGATGTTCACCGAATCCATAGAGAAATGGACTCGATAGATAACTGGAAAATCTAATGAATTGATCGGCATAGATAAGTGGTGACACACTTGAATCGAATCTAAAATAGACTTTTAAAAATATATCTATCATCATGAATAATATACTTACAATGTTATACCGTTAGATTTTCGTTTGACAAGAATAGCAAAAGGTATTTGAGTAATTATAACTTCATAATCAGTAGCATTCACTTTTGTTTGAATGACAGGAACTTGTAATGGAACTTCAAAACGGTTTCTTGTTGGATCATAAATTCGTAAACGAAATCGTTGCGCTGTTTCATAGATAAGATCAACTGTCAAACTAAGTATTTCATTTGGCATATAAGTTGATTGTTGTTTAATAATTGTTAATCGTTGACCGAAAGGAGTTGATTCATTTGTTTTTATCTGATATGTTGGAAAATCTCGTGGATAGAAACACCAAGGTACATTCAGTTCTACAGCATCCATAGAATGATTTGTTGATGATTGAGCTATGAATGGGATTACTGGTTTCCAACAACATTTACGAGCTAGACATTTTCTTTCTGAGACAGATGATTCAGGATGACAATCGAATCGTGCTTCTTTCAAAGGTTGATCGCACTGCTGAGCCGATACCATCCAAAAAGAAAGGATAAATACCATCATCCATTTTACCATAGAGAAATGTACCATCCTATAAATACGTCTATCTACAAAAATGCACGAAAAAACACAAAGAAAACAATAATGGCGAACTTATTATTCATCTGCTATAGTCATACGCACTATAATGCTCGCTCCTTGACTCGTAAGTTGTAAGAAACTACGCATCCTATCGTTCGTATTTAATCAATGACTATGAAGCTGAATCCTAATATTCAGATTAGCCTATAAAAAAATATCAAATTTTGTGTAACTAAAAAACTTCATTACTTGAGTGCATAATTTCTCACTGACAATTCATCATTATTTTCATACAGAAAATAAGTGTGTGCAGTAAAATGACTAATAATAGAGAGACGAGGCTCGCATTCGTTATCTTATCTTCACAAAGCACTAATGGAGATGTTTCACATAGTCAACACAGGTTACTTCGTTCGTTCTATAAGTTTCATTTTCGTTTAACTATTTGTCTTTAACCTTGATAACTCCTTCTCTCTCATCAATTTATCGACAAAATAATTGAAATTAAAATAAATGCATATAGCAAGCTAGTTCAATTTATTACTTGCATATATTTGAGAATATTTTTTTCCTAAATATGTGTTTGTCATTTACAGGCATTGAAAAAATTCTGGAAAAAAACAAATATTCGTTAGTAAATTAGTAATAGTTAATATAGATGACTAATATGATAATAAATCGTGGCGGCGCCTAAACAATTAAAGTAAATAATCTTAATGCTCTTCTATACGAAATTGTTAGTTTAGCGGTGAGAAATCTCATCCAAAAAAACAACAGTCAACGTATTAATCTTTTATTAGTTTACGAATGATAGTTTGACACGGATGGATATTTGTTATAATCTCGTACGCTTTTTCCTAAACCTTCTGATTACTACCACCATATATTTTTAGACGAATACATGACAGAATAGAACCTTTATCTGATCATCATCGAAGAAAGAAGAAACGAGTGTGATTTGTTATAGTGCCATTAATATCCTACGTCGATTATCCATTGTATATTTGATGTACTTATTTGCTTGAAGAATTCGTTACTGGAATAATCTTAAGTTTTATAACTACCGATTCTAACAGCACATCTGATAGTTTATTCTTCTATATATTTTTATTGTCGATACAATAGACTTCGCCTATAAAACATATCAGTCATGTTTCTAGTTTTAATTATCGATCTGTATTTTGTTTTAAATGTTTTCAATCAAACTATTACTCTACATTGATATCTAATGCTATTATAACATTGAAAGTGTTTATGTATATACTATAGATTTTTCCCTTTTACGCTGTGACTGATTATTTGTATTTTTGACTGTGTCTTCATTAAATAGAATACCTCGATTATTGATAATATTGTAAAATAATAGTTATTCTGAATATCTGAAAGTTATACAATGGTACACTTTGTCTCTCATTCCTGAAATATAAATGTTGCATTGTTGAAATAACAGAAAAGGTAATTTTTGAATTTGGTTCATCCCATACCATCAATAATAATATCTGAAATTTGAATCCCTATCTCACCTATAACGTCAGAAGTTTCAAGACGATATATATATATGTTTATTCTCTATCATGTATAAAGGTTAAGTATGGACAAGTTACTTAATTACTACACATAAATTTTCAATTTACAACTTACATGAGCGAATATATTAATATCTGTTTACCTTTTATTGAAACATTTTTGATTCTATATGTTCGATTAAAAATATGCCGTCATCTTTATTCCTAATAGTATAATGTTTATTTATTAAAAATATAACAGGTATTACAAGAATTAAACTAGATAACTGTGTTCTTTGAACCTTTAGTTCATGTAATAGACTGTTCAATAAGCAAATCTTAAGCAAGTAAATATAAATTGATTGCCTGAATTGGGAGTTTCTGAAGGCCTAATTTCTCTTGACGATTCGAAGGTGAGCATATCGATATCTGTCCAACCAAGTATAATCTCTTGTGGCTTACCAAAACGAAGTGCAGAAACATGATTTTTGATCTTAATTGAATTACGATGTCCCGTTATAGTCAACTGTAAATTATCAATCCATGCAGCACAAGCAGTCAATGCAAGAACAGAAAATGCTTCGTTCGGTGGGTCTACACTGATTGATGCATGACTTGAAGAAAAAATAATACAGGAACTATCAGTAGATTGAAAAGCATATACATAGCCACTGTTTGCATGTTTCATTCGTGCATACGATTCATACATGTATTCGAAACCACTCCACTTGAGACCTCTATACAACTCAGGACAAGCACCTCGTTTAGAATAGGAATTCATTAAATTATGAAATGTAATAGTCACATATTTGTGCGAGAGTGCTAAAATAATTATTCAAATTCTAATAATTTTTCACAATCAATTATGATACTTAATTTACCTTGCAATGTTCGTAATTCTTTCATTTGTTGAGAAAAATCTTGTAATTCACGTTTATTCTCTTGAAACTCAATTCGAAGTTGTCGTAATTGTTCTTTTAAACATACGTTATCCGTATGTACCATAGAAGCATCACATCTTTTGTAAACAAACTTACAATCAGGACATGTCACATCAATTAATGCACAGTTTGCTTCATGATTGGCAAGTTCTCTTTTTGATACTTCTAAATGACAACCAGAGCATTGCTGCCGTCGATAATCACATTGTAATTCATGCTTCTCCAATGCTTCATACGGAATGATCTATAAATGAGAATGGCAACAAATTAATTCGATCGTTTTAATTCTATATACTAACTTCCATACAGCCATATATTTGATAAGCACAAGCAATCTGCAATTGTGAAAGCATTTTAACGATGAATGGAGGACATTTTCTTTCAATGAATGTATCGCATAAGTTTGGACATTTTATTGGACGGTTCGTACGCCATTGTTTAATACATGCAGAACAAAATGGTGTTTCACATGTTTGACAAGCCACTGGTATCCAAAGTAGATCTTTACAAATAGAACATTCAAGATGTTCTATATTGACCCCAGATGAATCACGAACACGATCACGTAAATAACCTTCGCCTGACAAAGATGCCATCTAAAAAGACTTAATAAATGTATATATGTTATATGGAAACGAAAGATTTCTATTATATAAGATCTATTTTAACAAATATTCTATACGAACATAAGTATTATTATTTGATTTGAGCACATTCTATTTTGAAATATAATCTTTAAAATAAAATGTTGTTTTTTTTCTCGTCATTACCATAATTTTTATTGGTGAAAGTGTATTAAAAGAATGAAAGAATAAAATTTTGATCGAGTTGTTTTTACATTCTGTTTTGTTATTGTTTCAAAACTCACATATGTATTAGTCATCGAAAAAAAACAATCATTCATAGCAATGTGTTTGTATTTAATTTCTGTCTTAAGGATTCAAATGTATGATTAATGCATAGTCAATAAGCAATGCAATATGTTAAAGGTGAAAGTAGTTATAGTTCGAGTAATGAAAATAAAAGACATAATCTATATGCATTGTCTTTAATCAGACAAAGTTTTTGCATGTAAAGTTATGTTAAATTAATTTAAATCATATTCAGGTGAATATGGTCATTGAAACAAGTAATTTTATATGACTGAATGATATGAATGACTTAAATATTTGCTTTTGAATAAGATGATTACGTATTTATTATGTAAAATGAATTTAATCGTTGAAATAGTAATATACTTCCACTAAAATACTGTGAACAAGTTATTTCAGATAGAAAATGAGAAACTCAATTGCTTTATCGTTTCATTTATATAGATAATTTGTTTTTAAAATCTTTTTATTCGTAAATAATATATACAAAAGCGATTGAGCACAGTCTTAATTGTCATTTTATATAAAGAAATATATATTTCAACCATATTATTTCATAGCTACGTGGCGAAGTATTCATGTATTTCTAGTAGCACCCACTCGTCGTTGTGTTCGTGGTAGAAATAATTGTCGTAGATTTGTTTTCTTACGTAATTCGGATACGAAACCAAGACATAAGAAAGGAAAGAGCATAACTACTAAATAACATAGAAAATCACAATAGAGTTGAACATCGGCACCTGTTTTATTTGCTAGACCACATAAATGAGCAAGGATAATTATATTGAGAGGAATATTAACGCTAGTATAGAGAATAGAAATAGGAACTAATTGAATAATTAATTTACGTTGTTTACGCCATCGAATTGGTTGATTAAGACTTCGCTTTTGTCGGTAGACACGAATAAGTAGTGTCACAACAAAGAAACAAATCAATGTCGTAGGTAAAATACTATTCATTATAGAATCCCATTTACCAAGAATAGCGTCATTTAAATAACACGGAAAATTATTACATACAGGCAATGTATAAACATAAATATTGTTACATGGCGGAAAAATAATAACACCAAAATAGAAGATATTGATATAGCAAAGCAAAATAATTAATGGAAAATAGTGAATGATAAGACGTTTTCTTCTAGTTGATGTCCATTGATCATAGAATACTAGAATATGTCGTTCAAATGAACCCCAAGCCATAATAATTGTAATTCCATTATAATAGCCTACATCAATAAACCACCAGATAAGACATAAAATTGGACTTGATGGCTCAACAATACCCATATGAGATATAAAACTAAGATTCAATGGAATATCAATGAGTTCAATTGTTAATCCTAGGACGAGTAAAATAATAATTGTGTGATTATTCAATTGTTGCCTTAGAGTTCGATCCATGAGTAGATGATATAATACAAAGAATGCACAGATAATTGATGGAACATCTAATAATAAAAGAAGCCAAAATCGAACTGGACGAGGTATTGAAATTTCTGATTTATTAAATAAAAGATCATCATCATTCGAATCATCAATACCAACCATCTTCGATAACTAAAATATATACTAAAACGAAAAGAGAATTAAAAAATCAACATCAATTTATATTGTATTATTTGCAAATCGTAATCTACTAACAAAAAATGGTGAGAGCTAGAAACATCTACTTATATTATACTGTTAATCACTATTTGACAGATTTTCAAAAATATGAACATAGAGTAAAAAATAATTATAAAGATGCTTCTCGAACATCCTTATTTTTCTTCTAATGTATTATTCTAAATTAATTCATATACTTATTAGCAGAAGTTTATTCATAGACAAACTCACATCCATAATCATGAAACTTCCTGTCTGTTGAGTATCAAAGTGTGCGGGGGACATATCCAAAATTAAACTTACTTTTTCTCAACTATGATTTTACGGTTGGTTATGTTTATAATTAGAATATGCATCCCTCGGCATAAGTTATACTTAGGGGTCTATACGTCACATTCATGACGTTTTTTATTTTATTATAATAGAAAGTATATGGAAAGATAAATTTAAAAAGAAACGACAAAAAATAACTAAAGTTGCATCAAATATAGATATGTATGTGAGATAATAATGGAAATTTATATCCACAGTATGTATTGTATGTGTCTTTCATAATTATAATACATAGGTAGAAAGTTAGTAGTGTCTCATTTCAGAGATAATTATATTGAAATTTTTTATTTCATCCAAACTTCACCATGTTGTGTTCAGAATCTGTGAACTTGCAACAAGCTTCTGTATTGTATATTTTTAACATCTTTTATGAGAATATACAGACAGAAGAGGAATAAAAGTAAATTAATAATCTAATTATATTGATTAAAAAGATATAAAAGAGACTTGAAAGTGATGTTAATCTATTCTCTATGCATATGATTATCCATATGTATATTTAGTTTTCTAATTTTGAGTTTTATCTTTCCATATATTCAACATAAATTAATCTCTTAAATATCATCATCAACGTTTGGAATATTTTGTTATTTGCTAAATATAATCTATGCCAGATTTAAAAAAAGAGAAGAATTATCACATGCAGATATTGTTGTTGATTAGAAACTGCCAAGATATTTATCATTGACTTCTTTTTTGTTTTATAATCGACATAACCTGATAGGAAAAGCTTTCATTCTTTTTTCACAGTTTCAAATACCCTCTATCTAAGTTTGTCAATTTTATACCTCTCAAATATACATTTCCGTACATATACATGATCTATGAGGCATGACGACTGAAGGTAAATAATCATATGTAATTGTTATATAATTGCTTTATATTATGAAAATAATAAGAATGCACTTTTTCATCTAGCTGCAATAACATGTCTGCTTAGTCATACGCTGAAAAAAAACAAGCTATTTTTCGTTGCTATCATTTTGTTCAGTGTTTTGTGTAATAGCTAGTTAGATTGTGACTAATTAAATAAATAAGGGCATCTACCAGAGTAAAGTATATAGACTGAATAGTGATAGATGATGTTCAAATATTTCTATCATAAGTACTATCTTAATTCTAATATATGAATACAATAAATTACTAAAAGTTATAGATTTTTAGTTATCAAATGTGAAGTAAGAAAGAATGGTATTTATTCTGATTTATATTCGATTTGCCAAAAATAAAGTATGATTCAGTTTGACTGTTGTTGATAAGCTATATGCAACAGAACGTAGAAAATATCGATAGAATATGAACAATAAAAATGTTAAATCTATGTTCGTGGTAAACAAAGTACTAGTGCCGATAGTTATATTAATGTATTATCAACATACTTGTCAATAAGACTAAGTATGATTGATCATCTGATATTTGATATGGAAAACAAGCAAGAAGATTTCTCGATATATATTTCATCGAAAATTTCGTTTGAATTATATATATTTGACGAGTTTTTCTTTTGTGAACAACCATTGCTTGTACATGAGCGACATCTGATGTATTATTGAAATGATTAGAATAATTTTATTAGCAATATATAATATTAAAAAAATATATAAAAATTGATTTTAATCATTTTTTTCATACTTTAATTTTACAATTTATAATTTTTTTTGTTCAAACGTTAGTTAAAAATTTAAGAAGGTATTTTAATTGAATTTAAGTGGTCAAATTTAATCAATCAATCAAAAAAATTTAAGAATATAAATGTAGTAAACAAAGAACTAACGTTAACAATCAGTTTCTATACTTTCATATAGTCCGCTATGATAAATATTTAAATATATATATAAACTATTTTGTTTTGTTCATATTTTTAGATGACAACTGTCATTAATCAGCCAAACCTAACTGAAGGTCTAAGTTTAATCGGATGGAGATTAAAACGTGATGCTGAAATACAAGGTTTATTTTTATTTAATTAATTCATTTTTTTTCTAAAATAATAATTAATATTTTCTTTTAGAACGTAAAAATGATGCAAATTTTGAATGTGAAGTTGAACCATCATCAACATCGTATGCTGCATTTGAATATATGTCAGTAACCGATGATGATTATAATCCATATTCTGGTATTAATATTGATCTTTGTCTTGAAGTTGATGCTATTGATTTAAATAATTCTTCACAAGAAACTAATGATGATGATTATGATCCTCATGAAGTATTTATGCGATTAAATACACGTCGTACAGTTACTGGACGTGATCGTGCACCACTTGCTTTATTACCATCACAATCTATTACTAGTTCATCTTTAGTCAATAATTATCGTAATTATAATTTTGCTGATGATGATACACCTGTTAAATATCCATTAGCTATTGGACTTGTTGATAGACGTTTAAAACCACAAAATAATGTAAATTGAAATTTTTTTATTTTCAATCTTAAAAATTGTTTATATTGAAAAAAACTTTTAGATTCGTGGTGGTTATACAAATCGACCATCATTTGATTCTCGTAGTGGAGTATCTTCAACAATACATCCTCGACAAAATAATTTATCAGGTATACGTCGACCTCTTCCACCATCATTATCATCATCATCACGTCAATATCCTTTAAATTCATCATTAAAACGAGTAACATTTCGACAATCCGATGATGATCTTGATATTGATGAAGACGATGTAGATAATTACGACAATGATCTTCGTCGTCGAAATAAATTACCAAAACGTACAGCTGCTCGAATAGCTGTACAACGTTTTCGGACAAATAATCATCGTTCATCATTAATTGATGATGATCTTGATGATGATATTGCACCGACAGTTACAGAAATGGATATGTTAGAAGATGAAGAAGATGATGAACCAATTAGAAAATCAATGTCATCACCAGTTAAACCATTACCATTATCACAAAATAAACCAACAGGTAGTAAATCATCTTATATTGGAAATATGTTACCAAGTTTTTATGAACAATTACCTGAATCAAAAAAAATGTTATTACAAGATGCAACTGTTGATTCATCATCGAATCAAATAGATAATTTAACAAAAAATTCAACTGAAGTTCCTGGTGGAGAAGAAATTATTGATGAAGAAAATCGTTTACAATTTCGTAATACAACACCAATACAAGGATATAAACGAGCAAATAATCTTCAAAGTACAAAAAGATACTATGAAAATGATGATGATGATGATCAACAACAACAACAACAACATTCATTAAAAAAACGAAATTATGATTATATCAATCGAAATACACAATATCGTTATAGACGAAATGAAGATGATGAAGAATATGATATTAATCAAGATACACAACAACAACAACAACAACAAGAAGATGAATATCAACAAACTATAAGAGTTCCTGCACGAAGAGGGTAAATCATTATTTAGAAAAGGCTTGAATAATTTTCTTTTAAATATTTATTTTAGTCGTCCACCTTCACAACAACATCAAGAAGATCCATTGAAAAAAAATGCTCGTATAATAGCTCAATTTGAAGAACAACATAATCTTAAATTAGGTGAAATGCGTGTATATGCACCTAAACTTCGTTTACGTATATCAAGTGTTAATGTTAATTGGATTAATTTACCACCAATACCAAAATATCCAAATAAAGTTCATCAATCTTAACTATCTAAAAAAAAATAACCGTTTTTGCTTTTAGTTCAGCAAAATCATCTATTACTATTCTATGTTTTGTCTGTTTTCTTTTCTTTCTTTCATTTTGTACATAATTTACATTTAACTAAAGCAAAAAAAACACACGATTATATGTTGATATTGTAGAATAAAACAAAAGATAAATTTTGTTTTGTTAGCATTCTAGATATAAAAAAAAACTTCAAGATGTTTATGACAAGAAGTGAATATGATCGAGGTGTAAATACATTTTCACCTGAAGGTCGTCTCTTTCAAGTTGAATATGCCATTGAAGCTATTAAATTTGGTACAACAGCTGTTGGAATTATGACACAAGAAGGTAATCTTTTTTTGTAATATAATATTTTTTACCTTGTTTTCTATTTAGGTGTTGTATTGGCTACAGAAAAACGTATTACATCAGTACTTATTGAACCACGTAGTATTGAAAAAATAGTTGAAGTTGATGCACAGTTAGTTAAATCTTTTTTTTCTTGAACAACAATTGCATACATATATTATTCTAGTTGTGGTGCTGCAATGTCCGGTTTAATTGCTGATGCAAAAACTTTAATTGATAAAGCACGTGTTGAAGCACAAAATCATTGGTTTACACATAATGAACGTATGACAATTGAATCGATAACACAATCAGTATCAAATATGGCATTAGCATTTAGTGATGATTCTGAAGAAACTAATCCAATTTCACGTCCATTTGGTGTTGCACTTTTATTTGCTGGTTGGGATGAAAATGGTCCACATTTATTTCATCTTGATCCATCTGGTACATATACAGAATATGATGCAAAAGCAATTGGATCTGGTAGTGAAGGTGCTGATCAAACACTTCAAGATATTTATCATAAATCGATGAAATTACCTGAAGCATGTAAACATATATTAACAATACTTAAACAAGTTATGGAAGAAAAATTAAATGCAACTAATGTTGAAATGGCAACAGTTAATGCTAGTGGATATCGTTTATTTAAAAAAGAAGAAATTGATGATATTATTAAAAATATGTAAACGAAATAAATGATTTAATCAAGAACATTCCGTTGTTTGTTTCTTTCTTTTTCTCTTCTTACTTTGTTAAATTGTTGTGTTTTTTAAAAACATTAAAAACAAACAAAATTTTTTGAGTCGATTTTTACAGGAATTTTTTTCATCTTATGCTTTAATTTAAATAGATATGAGTAGTGACGAAGAAGATTTTAGTGATGTTTCAACTGATTTTGATGATATTTCGACTGATTATGAAGAATATTATACAACAGGTAAATGATATTTTGATTCGATTGAAGTATTGAATAATTTGTTCGGTATAGATTATGATGATGATGAGGATGATGATGATGATGAAGATGATGATATGTTAACACCACAACCAGTTCCTTTTCGTGAATGTCTTCGGATGCTTGATACAGCATTATCTGCTAGTCATCCACCTGTTCTGCCACGATGGTGTGCAAGTGAACAAATAGGTATAATTGATGATCCAATGTTATTAATTCATGGTCATCAAAGATATCTATCAATACCAATGAATACACGTGAAGCTCGAAGATTTATTCGAAAATCTGAACCATTTGATATGAAAATCGATATTGTCGATGGAATCTCCGTATGTATTATGAGAGAAAATTATTTTCATTATTCTCTTCTTTTATAGTTTGTACCAACAGTTTGTCAGATACCAGTCAATTCATTTAGTATTTTAAATCCACAATGGACAACAAAAGTTGAACCATATCTTAAACAGACATGTGTAGCACAAACACTTCAACTTGATCCAAATCAAATTGAATTGAAATTATCTAATTTACTTCTACTTGAACCATGTCAATTTCCACGACAATTTACTTGGGCAAAAGATAAACAAAATCCATCAACAATAGCAAAATTATTCATTAGTTTACCATCAATTTATAATGGTGGAAAAGAAACAATAACATATTATAAAGAAAAACATGTTTTTGATTTATCCGAAAAAGATTCTAACAAATCAAGTTTTTATACTATTGTTCCAATGAGTAATGAATGTAAACATGAAATTGATTTTATATCTAGTGGATATAAATTAGTATTAGTTTATGATATTATTTCATTATCATCAAATATTTTTTATAATGTTGATATTAATGAAACAATTATGATTCGTGTTGGAAGAATTTTAGAAACATATATTAGAAAATTAGAAAATGATTATCAAGGTTATTTATCAAAAATAATTCTACCGTTTTCTGATACATTTATTATGGGTAATAATCCACTTTTACATGGAAATGATCGAGTTATTGGAACAATTCTTCGACGAACTATTGAACAATATCATTCAGATAAATTTCTACTTTATCAAGGTATTATACAACCAAATAGATCAAATGATGGAACAGTACATGCTTGCCGTTTATTAACTGATTTAAATTTAATCGTTCCAAATAAAACAAATACACTTTTTAATCATATTGATTTATGTTTGGGAAATTGTAATGAAACTTATTCCGGAAATATTTTTCTAAGAAAAACAAGAACTGATCAAGGTTTGTTTATGATAATAAATTCTTTAGTGGGTACTAGGGCAAAATGTTGTAGAGGCAGATCATTGCATAGATATATTTAAAATGTGAGGTATGAGGCTGCGTGTCGTGTGAGGGTGCGAATGTAATATACGACTGTATCCTACTCTTACAATAACACCCTCGACTGTATATTTTTCTTTTTAGGTAATTTTGTTTCATTTGAACAATTTACTGTACCTATCTGGTGTATTGTTCCTGTCAATCATAAATATAATATTTTAATTGATAATATTCCACGTGTTTTAACTCATCTTGAACACAATTTAATTCCTCATCATCATTATACAGAAGCATTTTTACTTATTGATTGGTTATTAACAACTACGAAGAAGATAAATTTTAATACAAAATCACTTCTTCATCAATTAGTACGTCTTTTACCAAATAAGACAATTACGGATAAAGTTATTGTTATTATTCGACAATTATTTGAACATAAAAAATTTCTTGAACAATTTTTTCCAATGATTCTTAAACAAGAATATGATGATATTGTTTATCTTTTAAAATATTCTAAAGATACAAATATTCAATTATATATTCATCAAGTTTTTCAAAATGTTCTTAAACGAAAATCACGTGATAAAGATAAGATAAGACTTGCTATTAAATTTATTGGCATTTTATCAACAAGAAATATTGATTTAAGTTTTTTACTTGTACTTATTCATGAATTACTTTCAAATATATTCAAACCAAATAATCCAATGTTATCAATAAATGATCTAGCTAATTTACTTGCACTTTTATCAATATCAATTGATTCATTTCAACCATCATGTCAAATTATATCTCAACAAATTATTCGACAAATTAAGATAACAACAACAACAACAATGACATCATCAACAACTACGCATCTCCTAAGAGCTGTTCTTGTACCAACTCTTATTCAAATTCATCGACAATTTATTGATGCTAGTCAAACGTTTCAAAAACGAAGTTAGTTATCTTCTTTAAAATTAATATCATATAAATTTATTTATATGTTTAGAACGAACTCCGGTGACCAATTTTCCTCCATGGTTTTTATCACTTTATCAAACATGTCTTTCATTGATCAATGCTTATTGCAATAGTTCTCCACCTATTCCAACTTATGATAATATTTCAGATAATTTTCAAACACATTATTGTTCAATTTGTGAAGAATTATTTACTTTTCTACAAAATACGAATATATTTGAAAAAACTTTTCTTATACCCAAAGATCAAATTTATCATTTTAATAAAATTGTAAATAAATTTACTCCATTAATTATTAATGTTAAACCTATGACGTCAGATAACGAAAATCATCAAATATATATTATGAAAATGTCAACAGATGATGAAGAAATATGGCGTGAAAATAATCTTCTTCGATCATTATTAACTCATATACAATTATCCAATGATACTGAAGATCAATCAGATATGACGAGAAGTAAACGTTTTAAATCGTCATTATGATCTTCTATTTATTTATATTTTGTTTTTGCTTTGTTTTTTATTCGGTGATCTGTATATTATATTTCTAACTTATTTATATATTCTCTGTTTTCTTTTGTACCCAAGAAGAACTTATTTTTCTTACTTTTATAGAATAAACATCGTTATATATTGACAGCTATTGAAAATGTCGTTTAAAAAATTTGTTTTGAAAAAATATTAAAATATTTATGTAAACATTGAGGGTATCAGTGTGGGCATTTGTCTCATGCATTATCAACACCTACATCCACTCTTGATAGCCATGCTCATTTTTTTCTGTTTTTTTCGTGAAATTTGATATTTTGATTCGAAAAAATCTTGTCGACAATTAGCATCATGAGGGTGTATGAGAGTGAGAATGAAGAATATACACCCACACTTATACTCACACCCACACCCATACCCACACCCTTCCAACAGAGATTTATTTATGAAACCAGTCAGTCATAACATTTGCGTCATACAGACGGCAAACAACGAAACATATTTCATTCTGACTCACTGAAACTGCTTGTTTTTTTCCCAGTTACATTGTTTTTACGTGAGTCAATCAATCATAATATTTTGAGGGGTGTCAGACATCCAGGATATCGAAGATGCTGGAGATGCCGAGGGATATACGAGATATGCAAAACCAACCAAACAACGAGAACCCAGCAATAGCGATTCCACTGATGAATGTAGGAGGGTGCAGATCCGACTGTCAGATGGGTATTATACTACATCCACACGCACACCCACACCCACACCCTCAAGATGGTAAGAGCAGACTTCTACATTTTCGGCGAAGTGGTATACAATCTGACAATATTTTCTTGTAGTTTCTGTTGTTTATATATTTATGTGTGGTTAAAATGCAATACAAAGTCTTGATTAGTATCTATAATCAGAAAATAAAATGAAAATCAACGATGAATATTTTAAATTTGTATTCTTGGATAAAATTATAAACGCTCAAATACTTCAATTGATTTTACTTCGATTAACAAATTGATTTTTGAAAAGTAAAAGTTGAGAATAGTAGACTCGCTTGTACTTTTCTTTAGATATAAGTCCATTTGTTCTAGATTGATCAGCGTAATAATCGGGAACAAGACTCACAATTGTTACCGTTATCAGGACCACATTTGCCATCGTGTCGTTTTTGTTTTTTCTCGGTTTTGATTTTTCGACCACAATAAAAAAGACCTGTTTCTCCTTGTTTTGCTGGATATCCTTGATCATTTTCCCGTTCTAGTATTCCACCGTAACATCGACAAATGTGGCAGTTTGGACCGTTATCAGGACCGCAAAAACCATTGCTATCGACTCTGCCAAATGGTGCATTGTTGTCATTCATATTTTTCTTGCGACAGTAGTATAAATTGGTATTACCTCTCATTGGATACCATTCGCGAGCTCCTTTAACAGGCGGATATAACACGTTAAGTGCGATTTTATCACCATTACTAAGACATTCCCTGTTGCAACGCGCCCAAAGTTTAATACCTCTCATATTTGTGTTACAAGGGTAATGCATAATAGAATGAGCGTCGTATCTACCTCCGCCATGAACACCCTTCTTTTTGTAATTAGGATTATTTTTCTTGGATGCACGAACAGAAACATGTTTACTACGATCTTCACGCTGATGTTGATGAAGAAAGCCTAATGCATGCATTAATTCATGGAGCGCATTGCCTTTTTTAGCCCATCCTAACTCCAGCGTTTGTTTACCTCCTCGCATTCCGGCTGCGCTTCTACTTTCATGCTTGCTTGAGTAATAGATGCGAATACAATTTTGCGCTGTGTCGGAGTTTTTAAATTTAATACCAGGCGCTGCTGCCTCTATATCTTGAATAGCTTCTTTGACCACTTTCTTATAGTTTTCTTTCCTCTTCATATTTGTAGCAAAGTAGTAATAAACAATAATTGGTTCCTTATTCGTTCGAGCGTTATCTGCAATTACGTTTTTTAGTTTCATGCCATCCCATCTACGAGCGTCCGGTGCGATATTCGCACTAATTGCAATGGTTGAACGACCAGTGTTCGTTTTTGTGAATGGGAAAGCACAATACTTCTGTTCTTCATCATTGGTTTCTTCACTACTACTTTCTTCACTACTGCTTTCTACATAACTTAATTCTTCGTCACTGCTGTCTTCACTACCAGTCTCTACGTAACCTGGTTCTTCATCACTGCTTTCTCCATAATCCGGCACTTCGTTACTCGCTTCTTCGTAATTCGGTTCGTCTTCATTATCATGGTCGTCAGATATAACGTAACGAAAGGAGTTATCATCAGCATAATCATCTTCATCATTATCATGAAGTTTATGGACCGCATGAGCACCATAAGGATCCCAATCCGATTCGCTTATGTCTGAAGGTAGCAGCCTGGTTTTAAAAGTCTTTCGCGACATCGATCTAAAAAGAATAAGAAGATTGTTTTCGTGAGAAATAATGCATTCTTTCTTGCAACCCGAGTTGTATTCAAAACACTGCCAGATAAGAGTATCAATATTAGATAATTCTATTGTTTTATTAAAAAGCAATACTCAATACTTTGTTTGATGAAGTAAATCGTTTGCAACACTATTAAGGTGAAACTAATTATGAACAATTAAATTAGAAGAGTAGAAAATGAAGTAGCCATGTTCCTTATTCATGGATACACAAGATACAATTAAATAAATATATAATACAAGAGGGAAAAGCGAGACTTCAGAGTGCGTACTCTCTTTTACTTCATTCGCACTTCAAAACATTTTCAAGTAGATGACATTTTGCTTTTTCCCTTATTACGTATAATTGGATGTACAACACACGCTTGACGTCGACTTTTTTCAGTTTTTGCTTTCGGCTTTGTTTTAATGAAAACTAACAGAAATGATTGAAATTCAGGACAAATCAAATTAAAAATGACTTGTTTGACTTGATATGACTATGTGCAAAACTTAACTTGAAGTGGTTTTGACTTGGTAGTTCGTAGTTTGACGTGACGACTGGGTCTGATTTGATCCGAAAGATGTTGGTGTAAGAATAGATAGTAAGCTTATTACTCTCACTCACAACAGGGTTCATACACTAATACATCAATTAATTGTAATGCATTTTTCCGAAAGTCTATATCAAACCGTCCATACCAACAACTATCAATCACGCCAATACCATCAACTATACAAGAAACTTTGGAACGTTCCGATGTTTTGAGACACGACAGCACATATGCACAATAGAGCCCAGAAAGATAATTCCTAAAGCAAACAGAGAAACTTCAGAAACATTCGATTAAATTCCAGGAATCACTGCGAAGGATCACACAGTTCATCTAGTAGAAGTGATACATATTTATTGTAGGGCAAAGGTTAAAACCTTAAAAAAATTAAGATAAGCTCATCCATTAATACCTTACACAATCAATAAAATCATACATATATCACCTGTATAAACCGTCAAAGAAAACAAAAATTCAAAAAATCTCGAGGAATTTCATATATTTTCTACCTGCGTCTTACCATATCTGAATGCGTTATGTTTATCAAATTATATATTATAAGTCAAAAATTTTCTTGTGATTTATATATTGTCACCTTATCTCCTACGCTACCCCTCTCTCCCTCATGTACATCTTATTTTGCATCATAAATATATTATACATTTTATGTTGGCAATTTCCTTGTAATTCA